GGGTAGGGGTTGGTGGGATTTCGTCTTCCGACATGTCAGAAGTCAAAGAGAGTTGATCACATGCAAAACCTTCAAAATTACTTTTCTTAGTGTAACCAGATTTTTTATTAGATGTAGGCTGCTCGGCACCTGGCGCTGGTGGGCAACTCAATAAAGATGAAGGGTTAGGAGTCTCAGGAATGCAGTTTATGCTACTGTCACTGGAATTGTTGGCTACCGGCGATGAAGGTTTTAAAGGCACAGAAGCAGGCAAAGGAGTAGGGCCGGCCTCAACGTCTGAGTCGGACATGGACACGCCCCCACCCCTACGCCGCTTATGGCGCCGCATCATTGTAATTAGGAGCTCGAGCTCTGAGGCTCAACTTCTCCTCCACTCACACGTGACTTACCTATTTATAATACTGATAAATATATGTGAGAATAAGTGAGATACGATTTCGGCTAATATCTAGGTGGACACAAATCTATCTAGTCGATTGTTCAATGTTCACAGGCACACGTCCGTAATCGACCGCAGCTCGAACCGGAATCAGGCAGTCCGACTGAATGGGTTAAGTAAACATCGTTTCCGGAATTATATTCCGTGACAACGGATTAAAAAACTTTCAGTTCATCGATTCAAACAGGTAGAAATTAAATATTCGCTTTATGAAAGCATTCATGAAGAATATGAATATCTTCTGAAATAATTAATCAAAAAATGTACGAGCATTTGGGTTCTTCAATCGAGTATCTCAAACTATGTTTTTTCCAACAATCTGTATATCCAAAATAGAATAAAAAATGCATGAATTGTTTTCTCTATATTAAATACAATTTTTCATGTAATTTTGTATATTTTTCCATCTGGTTCAATATAAATGCACTGGTGATATAAGTACATGATTACACGGATTTCATCTAAATAGATGTTTGAACTTTGATAATAGATTTATGCATATTATCAGAAAGAAAAAAAATATTCACATGAATATCAACCACTTCGATAACTAATTTTCCCATCACAAAGTAAATAAGATATAGAAATAATTCTCCAATATCCAATGTATGGGGCTGATTGTGGTTGGCAACCGGCTCGACGGGGTACAATAGAAAGCTACCGGTATAAAAAGTTCGGTTGTTGACGATGCTGACTCAGCGTCGCGCATTTAATTATTCTCTTCAGCACCAAGCTAATAGTACGAGTAATTTTGTGCCATCTATGTAAATTATCCAGTCTTATGCCTCACCGCTGCCTCCCTGACGATGCCTCACCGCTGCCTCCCTGACGATGCCTCACCGCTGCCTCCCTGACGATGCCTCACCGCTGCCTCCCTGGCGATGCCTCAACGCTGCCTCCCTGACGATGCCTCACCGCTGCCTCCCTGGCCTCATATATTTAAATCCTGACGTCTGTTAAAAGTAAATTTGATTGCTAGGCAACGCAATGACTAATATTGAAATTTTAAATCGGAATTTCGGAGATAGAGATAGTGTAAGGTGATGGAATCTGTTGTGAGGGATAGGACTGTCCATAGATGCAGGCCGATAATTGATCAAGTGAAGACTAAAAACGAAAATATTTTTATTGAATATTTTTTTAAAGAAAGTGATTATTTATAGTATGAAATTACACCGTTTTAAATGAATAGCAGGAGCCCCGAGATCAGGAGGATAGCCTCGTGATAAAAGTCCTCCAGCTTTCCTCTTCTTCCTGCAACAGTCTGTCTTATGAATAACTTAACGATGTATTCATGTTCCGTTGTGAGCGTAATTATGTTACGATGACTTGTGGGTCTAATCACAAACATTTAAACGCACTTCATATCAGTTTCATATTCGCGCTGCTATTCTCATATGACAGAACTATTTTTCTGCAATGCAGTGAAGTTATATAATCCATGAATGTCCTACTTTTATTTTTCATTGTGTTCGAAGCCCGACTTCGAGCATGCCTATAAGATTGGTGCTGGACAAAAATATGCACGTTTTAGAGGTTTTCTTCTCCTGATACGAAATAACTTTTTGATTGCCATTGTCGTTTTTATTGCCCTTTCGCTTGCGCATGGCCAGAGGAGTTCGACGGCCGCTAACTTTTTAATTTTTATAGTCTCTACGCATTCCAGGAATGCCGGTGAATATTCCAGAAATGCTGTACTTTTACTCTTTCGCAACAACCGAAGCGAGGAATATCAAACAGAGAAACCAAACATGAAACGCGTGACAATGCTTTTTATTGTGAATCGATACAAACTAATAAAGGTAAATAACTGTAGAGATAGTTCGACGGACTGAATAAACTCTTGCTGTTCCTACATAAAATTAGCGTCTCCAGTCGGTGAGATAGTGTTAAATCAAGTACGGAAATTTTCACCAATAAATTTTTTAAGCTTAAGCACATGGTTCTGAGAAGCAGGCCATGATTATACTGAGGCTGTGGACTTACGGTCTTCATACTGAGGCTGTGGACGGTGCGGTCTTCATACAGAGAGTACCTGAGTATGGCGAAAAATTGTTCAATTTACCCATGCACATTATATCTGACTGAATTTCTATCACCTACAGGACCTAAGAAATCGTTTAATTTCCATCACACTTAAATTTGCCTAAGTTATCTGCAGCTATTAGTTTTTCTAAAAGTAAAAATCTATCTTTCCAGACACTGCAATCTTTTTCTCACAATTTTGTCTTAATTTCCTCAGCAACGTAGAGACAACAATCCCGTGAGTTAGGTGCGGGGCCACGATTGGACCACATTAAAGATGAATACAATGGGTTACATACAAACATCTAATTCCTTTATCTTAATTATGGAAGACAAGAAGTCTAGTAGAGGAGAACATCATGATTGATACTTGGAACGGCATTAAAACTGAAAATTATTGGAACGACATTAAAACTAAAAATTCATCGATTCTGAATGAGCCTGATTAAAATTTTCATTAATTGAGTACTCATCCAGTCAACATCCGTCTCAATATTTTAGCACAAAAAGCTGGAAATGTTTTTTATCCATTTTCAAACTGAACAAAAAACACTCATTTATCTAACGCAAAATATACAAAAACAATAATTTCCAAGAATTATAAGAGGTTCCATTTTCCGATGCAAATGTACACCAAGACGTTCCATTTTCCAACACAATTGTGCACAAAGAAATTCCAGTTCAAAGCTCAAACACCGTTGTACACCAAGACGTTCCATTTTCCAACACAATTGTGCACAAAGAAATTCCAGTTCAAAGCTCAAACACCGTTGTACACCAAGACGTTCCATTTTCCAACACAATTGTGCACAAAGAAATTCCAGTTCAAAGCTCAAACACCGTTATACACTGAGAGGTCCGAGGTTCGGACACAAGTGAAGCCTCACACTGAGCCACAAGGAGCGTTCACTAATGCATGCTTGGAACGGACATGCTTTTTCAATGCATCTTTTCTGACACACGCAAAATCGCAGTAAGAACATCGGTAAGGCTTGTCTGACGAATGCTTGCGAAGAATGTGTTGCTTCAAGTTACCTTTTTCGACACACGCATAATCGCAGTCAGAACAGCGGAAAGGCTTGTCTGACGAATGTTTGCTATGAATGTGTCGGCTTAAGGTACCTTTTTCGACACACGCATAATTACATTCAGAACATCGGTAAGGCTTGTCTGACGAATGTTTGTGAAGAATGTGTCGCTTTAAGTTAGCTTTTGAGACCGAATTATAATCGCCGCATATTGAGCATCGGTGTGGCTTCGCAGAAGATTGTCCAAGAAGTAATTGCTTACGGCGGTCCTTTTGATGGGTGCGAGTGAGCTTGATTGGGGAGCGTTTACTTGGTCTTTCAGCGGCAGGTCCTGCGCGCGTGGGTTGCCGTGTAAGATGAATATGCCGCTGCAGATGGGCGGCACCAATAGCCAATAACCCACGCTGGGAAAATGTGCACCTGGAGCGTTGCTTTGAGCTGGACGCCCCAGAGACGTGAGCACCGCCAGGAGCGTCTCTTGATGCCTCCTCACGTGCCGACACACCGGCGCTGTTCTGATGACGGAAATAATTTTTTTTTTTTCAGAACGAAACGATAATCAAATAAGAAAATCGAATTAGAGAGCAGATTACTAGTCCTGACGATCAGCTATATCCGTTGATTTATCCAACTATAATTACTGGCTGGAAAACCGAAGAATTCACCATGAATGTTTTGACCAAAACAACAGTGACTTCAAATATATGCAAAGATTACTGAGTGTGTATAGTTAGTGCATACATTTTATTAATTTTAAATCCTGGGATCTTCTTTAGGTCATTATTTCCTGCTGGGCAAATATCGATATAAGTAAATAATCTAAGGCAGGCTAAGGAATAGAAAGAAAGAATAGAAGAATAAGGAAGAAAGAATAGAGAAATAACATTGACTCGTTTGCTCGACAGGAAGGAATGTTGATCTGAGTGTTTGCAAGTCCTTAGTTCCGGGGAAGCAAGATTGGAACTAGTTCGGTTTCTTAAGTTTATTCATTCGAAGATTCAATCTTATAATTGCAGCACAATAGGAATAATGGATGACTGATTTAGTCAATAGAATTGATCGTATTCATGTGAAATCAGTTATTATAGATAGACCTTTGGAGGATGAATGATATGAAATGAGAGATACAGATCAGTGACTACTGAAGAATTGCAGTCTAAATCAATAATTGGAGTGAATTCAGGTGTGACACTGTATTTGTTATTTATTGCAGTCTGGATTTCACAGCACCAAGTTATATATGAAGTAGATGATAGCTATTATCAAGTGACTTTGGCCCATTATTCATTTATCAACCCTGACCAAATAAACTCTCTTAATTAGTCAATAGCCTCTCCTAATAAAGTCCCATAGTTGATTAAACATTTAAGAATCCAGCATTCAGCCATTATTCAAGTTTTCCAATGGAATTTTTGTATGGCAATTTCTAATACAATCTAGATATACATGATAAAATGGGTTACTGTGCTTCAATTGATTGTACAACATCACATATTAGGGAGGGAGTACACGTGCTACCTGAAACCTGGAGTTAAAACTTACAAATTTTAAAGCTACAACATTATAGAATTGTGTTGTTCTCATGTGCAAAAATTCATGTTTTGCCATCAAAATCATCTCCAAAATGTATAATTGTAGCGGTTAACATTACATACCTCATCTTCAAACAGGACTCGTTCCTCCTGCAGATATCCGTCTTCAAGTTTTACATGCTCACTGCAAAGTTCATTCTTCACAGACACATCATACATCACTTCATCTTCAGGCTCGTCCTTCATGAAGAGAAGCGGAGAAGGAGCACGAGCTTCTGTGCAGGAAAATAATTACAATTTTGCTTTATATTGATGGTGGCTTGCCTATAGTACACCTGAAGAATAAAGACTTCAAGCTAGGGAGATAAACTAGCAGAAAAAAATGTTATACATACATTGGAAACCAGTCTTTAAATCCCTCATACTTGGCTGCAGGCAAATATATTGTGCAGATTAATTGAATGCAGTAGAAGAAGGAAAGCCGTTGTGACAAAAAATCAAACATCTGTTAGAAGCCTTGCACATCAGAATTTGTTGTCATACCACCAGTCATCTTCAATGCGCATCAACCAACAATAACTGTAACACCATAGACTCTGCTTACCCTCAGACTTGACTTCAACAGCATCAGCAGACGCTTGTGGCAGACTCTGTTCAGGGCGCCCATCACTTCTGACAACAGCATCAGAGAGTTTATGCAGCATCATGCTGCATTTTTTTATTGTGAATGCCATCTAAGCATGCAATGATCTTCAGTTGATAATGCAATGGCAAGAATGTTACAATCGAATGTTACAATCGTTTGAATCAATATCTGTGTTCCATGTACTTCATAAAATTTTATATTTGAAATATTATCAACTTTTCGCTCATAAAATTTATGTCTGCAGAAGAACCAATCTGTTGGATGGTGACAGGAAAAATTAGTTCCAGTAGTTTAAATCACTTAACTATCCTTCTGATTCTAATTTAATGTGTTTATTAGTGGGTTGTGCATAAATTAGGACAAAATGGATGAACAATAGAAGGTAAAAATACAACCCGTTTTGAGTACCATCAAACGGGGTAATGAGGGACGGTTTTGAGCGTTTTTCCTTAATAACTTCTCACCATAAAACATTACATAAAAGAGTTTGGGCTCATTTAAAGGTATTTGCAAGGGCCATCGTATGGCAGCTTTGAAAAAATTCCATATGTTATTTGTAAAGTGCCAGATGCAAAATAAAAGCCTCCTGAACTAACCCTGGGAACGGGGCAATAAGGGACACTTGAAATGAAACTCAATTTTTAAACGTTTGAAGCATGCAAAGTGTGCTCATCCATCACTAACAGTACTCTGAAGCCTTCCTCATCCTTTGTAGATGATGTGTGTAGATGTAGAATAAATGACATTTTCTGTGATTTGTACTTATTTTTCCTTTATTGATATGATATTACCTTACCCATACATTGCGGTACTTTCTTCTGTAGGTAAGCTTACAGGATGGCTTGCAATTTCGCACCATTTTAATTGAGTCAAGTGAATTCACTATAACAAAAAAAAGTTTGTAAAGAACATACCTGAAACACAAAGGAATATTTTAATGACAACCAACATATTTTTTGAGAAAAAATCATAGTTTAGAATAATTACTTTTCATTCTATGTTGCCCGGTGAACAATTATCAGTGACATCAGTTTGTTGATGGCTGATGAGGCACTTATTTTTTGTTAAGTGAAATTTTTTTTGCTGAGCAAGGTAAATCTAATCAAAATTCTTTGTTGTTAATTGATTTTTTTGTTAACTGGAGCCATTACTAACAAAGGCTCTAATGTGAATGTGTTATTAAGGGGTGTCCCTTATTACCCTGGGGGGAGGTGTCCCTTATTACCCCGTCGTGCAGAAATGGCAGCAATTTTTTTCTGGAATGAGATATACTAATTCTGTCAATCACATTTTTAAGCCAACACCTGTGTGCAACTTTAATGTTTTAGTACAATATTTTAATATGGTGAAAAATTTTTTTGCTACAGACACTAGCAGAGGTACTTTTCCAAAATCTCATTTTTCACACTTTTTTTCACGGATTTTTAGAGGTAGCATAAGTATGATTTCTTAACTTGCTTTATGTTATATTGGTAGGAAAAATGTTGAACTTTATGCCACTATTTTTTGTTTTTGCAATATTTTAATTAGTTTAGCTGCTACAGCACTTCTACAAATTGTTGGAGGACTGTCCCTTATTACCCCTCCCGTCCCTTATTACCCATTTGACAGTATACATATTTGTTCTGAAACTTTTTTATATGCCCACTAATAACAATTAAAAATGAAAAAAGTGCAGGTGTATGAAAGAAGAGAAATGAAAGAAGTGCAAATTATATTTTATTTCTTCCCTCTTTTTATAATGATTTTCTATAAAGGAGTGGCCATCCTTCGTCAGTCTCACACTGTGGGCATTCAGGTACTATAAGAAGAGTTATCAAACTCTCAACTGAATTGAAATGTAGTGAGCATCCATTTTTTACAAAAAGCTTAAAAAATAACAAAGAAATTAGATGCTATGTGACATGAGAGAAATGAATTGTTGAAAGCAGTATTGGTCATTGCAACAGAATTAAAGACCTGATAGCAATTTCTGACCACTCCGCATATAAGGCAATAATGGCAACCACAATATTTGACTTAAATATCCAAAGCACGAGAACAAAATTTTTAATAAATTGAGACGCTGACAAAATGCCAATTGTATGCTACAGAGCAAAATATCCATCCAATCATCCAAAGTGAGAGCAGAATAAATGTTTTTTAACTGCAATAATATATTTTTCCAGTTAATGTGTTCCACCAGAATAGCTTTACCCCAAATTTTGTGATAATGCTAATGAAATTCCAGCAATCAGAAGTGCTCAATAAACTAGGTTTCATCAGATTACCGTCAGCACTCCTTGCTAGACTTGGTGATTTGCTTTCAACATTCACAGGGAAGATCTTATTAGAATTATAATAATAACCTTGAGCAGCTTGGGCTCAAGCATCAACAACTCAGGGAGCCTTACACTCAACATTAAATGAATGATTCATCTTGTGAACAATGATCTTGCTAAAGTAAAAACATCAGTTTTTCATACCAAAACAGCTCTCAAATTGACAATTCACACGAGCATCAAGAATTGATTTTACTTCTTCACCCAAGCAAAACAAGCTGAAAAATAAAACATTTTCGGGAGCATAGCTTCGATGGCTTAAGTTTTAGTAGACATGTTACTAATGGTATGCTGAGAAAACGTCCTCTGATGGCTGGATGAGAAACTCCAGCAAAAGTTGACTGAAGATCACTTCACAGAAGTAAGATAGCTTTTACACCATTACATTACAAGTAGCCAGAACAGTTACCTCACATACAACAGTTTGATGCAGGATGGAAAGTTCATGTCTTTTCCATAAAATTATGCATCAATATCTTATGATTGAATGCAAACAAAACTTTATTGATCAATGTTTTTAGATGTAAAACTTTTGTAAGATCTTATCTAAAGTGTGGAATGTACTTGCTTGATAATATATTGCTCCCTACTCATAATAGAGGAGAATTTAACCCTGGGTGAGAGTTAGAATGAAGATGGGCTCATGCTAGTCATACTTCCAGAAACAGCTCGAGCATAACTGAACGTAAGAATCAATACCCACATCCACAATGAAAATAGCAACCAGTGTAAGGAATTGCACAGCTCCTCTGATGGCTCCTGGTGACGCCTTTTGTCAACACATGGCAAAGATTTTTTATAACCCATGCTAAAGTCCTCTGATAACACATGGCAAAGTCCTCAGATAGCCAGCGCTAAAGTCCTCTGACAACCAATAGTATAGTCCCCTGATAGCAGTTGCTAAAGTCTTCTGACAACGAATAGTATAGTCCCCTGATAGCAGTTGCTAAAGTCCTCTGACAACAGATGGCAAAGTCTTCAGATAGCCCGGGTATAGTATTCTAACCAGCCATGCAACTAAACATAGGAATATATGAACAGAAATTAAATGTTATGGATACTCGAAGGAAGATTGAGAAGGAAGGAGATACTAATGAGTGTAGAACTTGAGACAGAAAAAAATTGCCTGTAATTTAAAAGCAAATAAAATTTCAAGAAAAATCACCTCATATTCTTTGAAAATATTTTTTAGACCAACTCCATCATCAGTTCAAAGTTTATTATCTCAAATATAATGAAATGGAATGATTAATTTATTTAGATGAATATATTACACCTATAGTATGACTATGAAAACAGATTACAAAATATCCTTAAAGGGAAAAGAACAGGAAATGGAAAAAAGCTAAAATATTAAAATTCCTTTTGGACATAGCTGCATCACCATTGCACTTTTAAGCATGAAGACACACAAATGAAAAATTGTCACAGAAATAGTAACAGATCATAATTCAATTTTACATAATTTGAGGTGAAAAGAAAAATCAACTTGAAATAAATTGAAAAGAATTGTACTTGGATTTTAAATCAAAAAATTAAATTTGCTGTTTGGTAGGTATTTAATTTGTTACATTTTTGGAGTGTAAAATGGTGAGAGTTGAGCCCTGCTAAATTAAAGATATATTGCCATATCTCATTCAGGTCTGCAGATATGGCCAAACAAATAATAAGAATGAACAGAAAGAAACACATGAACCTATGGAATAATGTTAATATGCATAAGTGTGATGAGGTGCCACAGGACAGGCAGAAATGAATTTTTAAAGCAAGCCAGGAAATACTTATTGATCAGAAAAAGCAAATCATTATCTAAAAAATCTTTAAAACCTGTATTCCAAAAGCATGGAAATATCATTGATAACAATTACAATGAAAATGACATTTATGGAAACAGAATTGTCGTTGAAAGTAAACAATGGTGATGGTGGTTCAATTCAATCTATAGGTAAGTCATGAGCAATTAGCAGATGGTGGTGAGTGACAAGGCATCAAACCCTCAATGCAGAGCACCATATTCAACTGGAAATGAATGACTTCAGAGCCAAGAAATAGAAAGACAATAAGGACTGGAACAAATGAATTGAATACTACAAATTTATTTATACAAACAAGGATATAACTAAGGTTTATCAACATGCAATGCTATGTGAGTATGTCCACAAAAATTGAAATGATGCAACTCACGAGAAATGGTACAAATAAATTAAACTCTGCAAATGTATCTCAATAAATAAGGAATTATCTATGGTGTGCCTATAAATAATAAATGCCAATGTTGATGCATAATGAACTGATGAACCATATGAACTTAAACTTAGTTAATCAAATTGATGGCATGGTTAGGTTGTAAGTAAAGAATGAAAGTGCCAAAAATTAGATGACACTGCTAGCTGAATTCCATTGCAATAAAAATATCATGAATAAATTGATTGAAAAATGATGAGCTAATTGATACATGGAGCATGACTTTGTCATAGGGTGGAGACAGAAAGTTTGTAAAATGACTGGGCCCTATTCCCTAATAAAGGACAATCAGTTGGCATCTGGCACACTTGTTGTGATGTAGTACTCATAGTCAAAGGAGTGAGTTGGCCTGATAAACATGAAAGAAACCAGAGTACTCTTTTCCATTTTGTCCACTTTGTACATTCAAAGATATAGATACACATTCACAGTACAGTATTTAATGCAAACATTTCATTTTCTATGTAAGTGAATTTCCTCTATATATTTAGCAATGGTTATAAGGCCATAAGTGGATCTTATACCATATATAACAAGATGGCACAAGCCATTTGTCAATAACAACTAGAGCCAGGGAAGATCTTCTTTCCTGACATCTGGCACCCACAAATTTTTAGCAGAATTTGGGATAAACGGATGCTCAAATCCTCATCCTCATCAATCACCTCATCCCTCCTGGTTGAACAT